CTTCTTCGAATATTTCGGTGCCTAGCACCTTCTTCAGCGACCTGAAATACTACAGTTAGCCACCTCCACCGGAATCCTGAATCTTCAGTGGTGCCTTCTGGACTCTGACCTCCAGTATCCGCCAGTATGTCGACGCTGCTCCTTGCGAATGCCGCGCCTTCTAGTGGTACTGACCCTACCCGTTACCCTCCTTAAATAGTGAGGATGCCTAGTGAGCGCTTCTGCATATGATATCACTGACCGCTCCACCATTATCACGTAGTCAGTGAATCAACTGCAGCGCGTCACGTAGCTCATCCTTACTATTCATTTCTGGGGATAGTCTTCTTATTTCCAGTGCTTCTAATAATATTTTGAGATTCCTTTTAAGATCCTCCATCGGCTGCATAAATAACTTAGAAAAGCCCTGCTCGACAACCGACCTATTCCATTCAAATCTCAAGAAGACTAAGAAGATTAAACCCTAAAATTGTTAGTTATTTCATCAACAAAGCATGCCTCATAAATTTTATTAGTCCATTCCATAGTTAGAACCATCAAGCAACCAAGGAGAAGAGCTCGTCAATCATGCATCGGGTTAGTACTAACCATGAAGGTGCAGCTGGGCTTGGAGGTGGCATTGTTCACAACTAAAATTGTACCAGCCCAGCTTGTCAAGACCTGTAGGTTCCTGTAACCAAAGTGGTTCACTTGCCACTTTGTAGCTTCACAAGAGCTAATGGTTCTCACCAAAGCGAGACCTGTTACTAAAAATGAACTAACAAAAGGAATTAGCTAATGTACAAAATCCCCCTCCAAGACGAGCAGCACCGTAATGGCACCAGGTATGCCACTGAGGAAGAAGGACAACAATACGGTTAAGGACATCGCCACACTGCTACCGTAACGCCATCCGTTAACGATGGCCACATCCACGAGCTTGACAACGTTGTTTTATTTTTTGAATACCGTGTTTTATCTTTGTCAAGAGAGTTGGGGCTTTTACAAGCTGTGGAGTTTGGTGGGTGGTTGGTGGAGGAGTCAGCTGAATAGAACCACCTTGGCAATTGTGTCGATCACTCTTGTTGGCACATTGACAGGTACAGTCCGATCCAATGACAGAGCCTGGCGGGCACTCGGGTACCTGGAAATAGGCAGCTCAGGACGGTTTTGTCGTTTGATAAGTTGGCATTTCATTAGGCCACACTATAGACACACTGAATTCTGCGAGAAAACGCAGAGCGCGTTGCGCAAGAGCTGCTGTGCGCGGTCGCGTCGCGGTGGCAGGAAAGTTGCTCCAGTGGATCGATACTCTTTGATTTTTTTTGCAGTCGAGGCCTTACATTTTGTTACTTCGCAAGGTTCCCGTAGTAAATACACCGGTTAGGATGCTGGTGGGCGGGGCCAGGAAACGTCGTCATTGGCGCGTCCCTTCCCTACAGTAAGTAGGAGAGAAGCGGCGCCAACGACATCCTCCCCTAGCTCCGCCCACTCGGAGGTCCAACCGGTGTTTTGATAAGATGATTTGAACGTACATTCGGTCCACAATCGTAGCACGAGCAAGAAGTGTGTTCCTCCATGGAGATGTTCAGCGTCTGATTGAGCATGAAACGTCCATTGCCCACGTAGACCATTTCCACTACCTGAGAGGAATTTCGACTGAGCTGAAAAGCAAATGCGTGGCTGAACTCACCGGTCTTTCCAGTATTCGGACACTGTGCGGATGACAACGCTCGAAAGAATCACAACAACTTCCCACACACTGCATGACCTGGAACCAAAGCTTAAATCTGTTTCCCAAACAAAATCTGAGGAATTGTGAATCAACGATAGAGCGAGAGGTTTTTACGTCTTTTACACATTATGCGGTAATCGCGAATGTTCAGGGACGAAAATGGCGCATCCATCTTCTTGACAGCCTTAGAGGGAGAGGCGTACGAATGAAGAAACATGATGGTTACCTGTCTCCGCCCATCCTGCGACCGCGGAACATGCCCTCAGGAAGAAAGCGCACCCGTTAGGGGGCTGAATATTTCACTTCTGTCACAGGAACATAGAGCTAACGAATCAACGTGGTGGCCTTTAGGTTGGGAGAAACGAAAAAGGGAGGAAGAGGTGGACGGACCCGAGAATAAACGGGATTTCTGTCACGTAAACGGGATTATTCAAAAAAAAACACCGTCTCTCGATACTCTCTGCTCGGGGTCGGGGCGAGGTATCGATACTCGATACTCCGCCCCGACCCCGAGTCACCCAGGCGTGTGCGTACTCGCAAACCATTCTTTATTCGTGTGTGCCTGCAGTAAAAGAGGTTTTAATTCTCATCTCTCGTAATCCCTCTATATAAAACCAAACCCACTCAACCAGCACAAATTTTATAGAAGGGTTCTCTTAAAGGCAGTTGGCACGATGGTTTCCTACTTAGCCTAAAATGCTAGTAGGGCGCTGTATAGTGGGGAAATGGCGAAAGAACGGAGTGAAACGGTCAAAATCCTGCGAAGAAAAAGCCTCCGTTCTCAGTGACTTGTAAATCGATTTCGGACGAGTTTCCCGTACGCATCTTGCCAATCACCGCTACCGAAGATACGGCTGCATATGTGTACCCATATATGCATGCAGCATCACGGCCGCTTCATACCAATCCCTTTCTGACGCTCGTATTCATTCATTTGCTGAGCAAATTATGAAGCAAAGGGATTGGTATGAAGCGGCGGTGATGCTGCATGCATATATGGGTACACATATGCAGCCGTATCTTCGGTAGCGGTGATTGGCAAGATGCGTACGGGAAACTCGTCCGAAATCGATTTACAAGTCACTGAGAACGGAGGCTTTTTCTTCGCCGGATTTTGACCGTTTCACTCCGTTCTTTCGCCATTTCCCCACTATACAGCGCCCTACTAGCATTTTAGGCTAAGTAGGAAACCATCGTGCCAACTGCCTTTAATAGATGCGAGACAGTCGAAAAGGCTAAAGCTTCCCTAGGCTGAATGAAGATTTTGAAAACCGGCTTTCTGCAGTCGTTGATCCGTTCATTAGCGTAGAGCCAAATCCGCATTAGAAATTCCTTACTAAGTTATCCAGGTATGACGCCATTTCTATTGAGTACTATTCAAAGCAGTGGTGTTGTGGCGAATGGCCAGCTCCCCACGTGCCGGTCAAT